GGGGAAGACGTAGGCCCAGTAGTTTGGGTTATCCGGCATGATGGCGAAGAGCAGCACGCTTAGGAGGTTGCCCGTGCCCGAGATGGCGAGAAGGACTCTGCCGGGGAGCAGGTGCAGCGTGAAGCCGCCGACGGTGCCGATCATGATGCCGCCGACGATGAGGGGCACATACCACACGGCCGTTAGCAGCGGCGACATGTGCAGCACCGTCTCGATGTAGAAGCTTGAGTAGAATAAGAAGAGACCGAACGTGCCGTAAGCGAAGAAGAGGGCGGCCACGAGCGTCTTCATGGATTTGGGGGCAAAGAGGTCGCCTGGCAGCAGCGGGTTCGCGGACACGCGGCTCTCGACGTACCATGCCGCCACAAGGAAGACGACGCCCAAGATCAGCGTCACGAGAATCTGGGGGCTCGCCCAGCCCTGGGGTGCGTGCGAGCTGTCGGTGATGGCGTAGACCACGAGCAACAGGCCGGGGACGATGGTCGCGGCGCCCCACCAGTCCATGCGAATCTCCTGGCGCTTGTCACCGTAGTCGCGAGGGATCGTGATAAAAGACACGGCGGCGATGATGCCCAGGACGATACTGCCGAGCCAAAAGTACCAGCGCCAGTTGAGGAACTGACCCGATACGCCGCCGATGAGTATACCAAAAAAGAAGCCGATGGGCGCAAAGGCGCCGTACAGGGCAAAGACGAGATTCTTGCGTGGCCCGGGGCGGTAGATCTTGCCGAGGAGCATGATACCGGCGGGGAGGTAGGCGGCGGAGCCGAGGCCTTGAAGGGCTCGGCAGACGATGAGCATCATGTAGTTGTTGCTGAAGCCGGCGACGAGGCACCAGATGAAGAACCAGGCGAGGCCGATGTTGAAGGTCAGGTAGCCGCCGTACATGTCACCTAGCCTGCCGAGCGGCAGGAGGAAGGCGCCCGTGACGAGGGAAAAGACGCTCGAAGGCCATGTCTGGGAGGCGGCGGGGATGTCGAGCTCTTCTGCGAGGGGCGGGAGGATGATGTGAAAGCCACTAACAAAGTATTCCTGGTGTATGAAGTTAGACCCCATGCCCCAAAGTGAAGACACTTGATTTCTGAGTATTGTGAAGTCAGACTTACAGCCATCAACATGGATCCCAAAAGGGAAAAGCAGAAGCCCAGCTCGGCCCACTGCGACTTGAAGACGGCCGGGCGTTGTCGGCCGAGAAATTCGACATCGAACTCGGTGGGTTGGCCCCCGGAGCCGGCTTCCCGGTCGGTATTGTCGCGCTGTGTCATTGGTCTTTTTGCGCTATGTATCTTCAGGGTATAAAGTAGTATACAGTTACAAAGAGTCTATTATGTTTATCGTAAAGATCTTCTCAGTCATATCAACATATTGCTTGACAATAGGAAAAAAACTAGATAGGCATGGGATGCATCGTGATGGGTCCCTCCAAGATCTAAATAGCAGCCCGGAACAGTCCATCGATCCATCAAAGGAAAGCTCTTTGACGCAGAGAATTTCTAATCGGGGGTGGCCTCTGGTGTGGAGAAATGGAGACATGGAACGTCAGGATTTGCATCTGGCCTAGGATCAACGACCAGCGCCGGCAAGACAAACAAACCCACGGGCCTAGATGGGGCACCGTCGTCCCAGATGTCCAGCTCGGCTCCTCAAGGTTCCAGCCCGCGGACAGAGAAGCGTGGTAGCCTCATATGGCTCGAATGGTGACAGAAGTTCGGAAGACGGGTCGTTGGAGCATGGCGTGCGCCTTGGCTGCCCTTCTCGGCAAAGAACTGCCACCGTTTCGGGTTTTGGAACAGAAGGTTTGTGGTAGACATGTTCTTTGTTCCGCAATGGTGGTTCGAGGTGACAAGTGCCAGAATTGCTAAGCTTGCTAAGCTTGCTAAGCTTAGGAAAACCACTACGCGTTGAGTCAGCTCGAGGGACGCAGTTGAGACGGAAAATGAATCACGAGAGGGTCTGCGTGTTAGGCTTGGCCCAGGGTCCTCGATCGCATAGTTTGCCTCTGTTTGGTATGCGACCTGCGTGTCTGCTGCTCGGTGACGACCGAAATGACGACCTTGAGTGACGACACAATAATTCAAGATGTCAATGGAAGGTGTCGAGTGGTGCAGGACTTCTCCGTGTGGACATGGCAAAGATGCAAAGTTCTCTCCGAAAGTGAGTGCGTTTGACACATTCTTTCTTCTGGTTGGTTCTTTGTTGCGACATGGAACGAGTTTTGTGGGGTTCTTCAGACGCAGCAGGCTTAATTGGGTCTAGCTCATATGTCAAAAAGACGGTGACTCAGCAAAGCCAGAGCCTTTTGACGAACCAAGCGTCGAGCTCTACGTCCGTGCCTTCGTCTTCGAGAAGAAAATATGGAGACGCCAAATGCACGACTTGTGGCTTGGCTTCCAAATTGGGGCTAGTGTTTGATCTTATCGGTTCTTATCGGACGGCATCTGTGTGCCGGTGACTTCGGCCGCCGAATCGAAGCTTCACGATTTCCGTCACCTCAACCTCCAACAGTAGCAGCAACAGCGACACCGCCATAACATTTCCAATCAACAATCTACTATCTACAGGGCTGGAATACCGGACTGGAGTCTCGGACTCTCCATCCTCCGGTTGGAGCGGTCACTCAACGTCACCTTATCTGCCAACCCTCCTAATGCACACCCAATCTGAATCTGATCTTGTCTCCCGTCCAAGCTGGAGCAAACGAGCCCTCTGACGTTCATTTGACATCCCCCGCGTCTACCAACACAATAGGACCCCTCCGATTACCAATCTTAGATCTACTTGTCATGCATGTCTTGACACTTCTTTTCTCCATTGAGGCAGTATCTGCGTCAACCGAACCACTACCCGGTCACAACCACCGCTTCCACTAGAAACCACCACCAACGTCCTCTCACGAGCCACCTCGATAACCCGTCCAGCGCCCTCTGACTAAATCAAGCTTTGTCCGACCCTGTCCGTTTTACGTTATCGTTACCACAAAGACAGCTTACTTCCGTTTCTGGATTGAGCCTGCGCCTTTGGGACCTTTGGGGAGACGACGGGAACTTTACCCACCGCCCGCCGAGGCTCGAGATTACCTCACTCTAGAATCTAGAGTCTGGATACCTCGTACGCGCCCGCATCGCTGGTTGCCCACTTTCGCACTCGCGCTGACGCGCACCCTGATAGCTGTACCTGCGGCTACCTGCAACCAGCTGCAATGTCACGCATCGAGATGCTCAACGCCCCGACGAAGCCATGCCACAACTGTCGCCGCCGTCGCCTCCGCTGTGACCGCTCCTACCCCCACTGTCACAAGTGTACAGTCGGCGGACAGGAATGTCTTGGCTATGGGAAGCTCTTTCGTTGGACAGAGGGCGTCGCCAGTCGCGGCAAGCTCGCCGGCAAGACCTCCATCACCTTCTCGGCCGATACAACCACCGCCATGGTCCCGACCTTGAGGACTTCCACCTTTGAGCTCAAGCCCTCAGCCTCTTCTTCCCCCGCTTCTTCCGCTTCGGGCCTCCAGCCCCAGGACCCTCCGGCCTCTGCCGAATCTGCCGAAAACGACTCCACCGCCCTCGTCGTCTCTGCCGTCCGGCCCGCCGGCACCGAGACCCAGTCGGCACCCTGGACCCTCGTCGATCCTCTCTTCCAGGGCGTGGAGCATCACTACCGCCACTACCTCTCCTACTGTAATTCACACCTCCTCATCCAATCTCTCGGGAAGACGCTAGAACGGCTAACTCGGTCGCTTCCGCAGTCACCACCCGCGTCTGTAGGGATCTCGTCTCCTGGGACCTCCCAGACAGGAACCCCTTCCGTTCCCTGATCCCCTTGACAAAGGCGCACCCCTTGCTGCAGCACATCATCGTCGCCGCCTCCGCAGCCCACATGTCTAATCTGTCCCGCGCCTTGTCCTCAGACCCAGAGTCCGATCTAAACGCCCGGCAAGCCTTAACCGATGCCCTGGTAGCCAAGCACAAGGCCCTGCGCCTGCTCTCCTCAGCCCTACAGGACATTGGCGGTGTCGGCGGGGACGTGGTGCTAGCCTCCGTACTCTTCTTCGTCAACGTGGAGTTGATCGAGAGCGGACACGGCGGTTGGAAGCCCCATCTCGAAGGCGCGGGCCGAATTATGACCTTGTTGAACCCCGCCTCCACCGCAGATGTCGCACTACGAGATTATGTCATGTCGGATTGCTTCATGTAAGTTCATGTGTCTGATACTGGGTGAAGTAATGAATTATCTAAACTAACACACGTCCACCACAGCTATTATATCTTGGCCTCCGCTTTCAACCGGGAGACACCTACTGCCAAGTCGTACTACCAAGCCTCTCAAGCCTCTGCCGTTCTTGGCAGAGCTGCTGCCAACAGCTACCTCTGCTGTCCACCTGATGTTTTGCAAATTCTCTTGGCAGCATCACAGCTGTCGAACCAACCCACGGATGACCTTGAATCTGCAGCATCAATAGCCCAGGCCGCGGCTCAACTGCTAGAGCAGGCCCTGTCCTTTGATACCCACGACTGGGCTTATGAGCCGCGTACCATTTCTTACTTTAAGCACATCCCGGTCGAAAGTCGAATTCACGCCGGTTCCGCCCACAGGCTCGCTGCGTGCTTGTACATCCTGCACGCCCTTCCGTCCGCTTCGATACTGGTGCCCGTCGACCGCGATGAGCTAGACAGCCAGATGTTCTACCACCTCTCGTGTATCCACGACGAAGACCCCAATTTTAAGGCGACGTGTTTGCCGACGTTTATTGCTGGCGCCGGAACCTCTGATCCAGAAAGACGAAAGTGGATTCTCGATCGGCTGAAAAGACTCATGATTGCGACCCCTTGGGGCTTCATCATGACTGCCATGGATACTTTGCAGACCATTTGGAACCTCGAGGAGTCTGTAGACCCAGACACGCAGACAGAGCGTACCTGGGTTCAAAAACTAAGGGCTTCGAACCTCAATTTCCTCATCGTGTGAATAGGCACGAAAAGAGAAAAAAAAGGTACTTCAAAAGCTCAACGCAAGCGCGGTCCTGCTGAGATGCCAAACTGGCCGCCCGCATCGACGAACGTCAAGGCACTACTGCGGCGCATCTCTGTCGGTTCTCTTACGGTATCAGTGGTCGCAAGTCCGGTGTTATGACTGGCTGAGAACCCCCAGGCAAACATGTCACCACCTCGAGAAACTACGAAACAATTGTCGATTCCGGCCGCCACAAAGTCGGCACTTGGTACTACAAGGGGCTGATTAGTTTTGGTGCTTAGACCCAAAGCTGATAGAAACATACCAGGAACGACGGTCGGTACGTTTAGGACTCTTGGCCTCTCTCTCGAGTCGAAGATGATGTCGTCGTGGGGTAAGGCGTTCAGATCGATGCCCATTTGGCCGTCATCGCACCGACCCCAAACGAAGACCTCCCCTTCGTCCGTACAAGCAATGGAGTGGTGAAGGCCACAGGCGATATGGTGGATCGAGTACCCCTCGAGGCTTTTGACGACTGTTGGAGAGATGATTGTCGTGAAGCCAGTATCCTCCCGTGTCGGGACACCACACTGGCCAAAGTTGTTCAGCCCAAAGGCCCAGACTTTTCCGTGGACGTCAATGGCGAAGCTATGATGCGATCCTGCAAAGATCTTGGCCGTCTGGTGTCTAGGCAAGCCTACGCGCTGGGGTATGAGGCTCTCAAAGCGACGGCGGGCGAGGAGGCGTCTGCCTAGTTCGTTTTGTTCGCCAGAGCCCCAGGCAAAGACGTCGCCGTCGTGGGTGAGAGAAAGAACGTGGTTCGCGCCACCCGCTAGTTCCACGATGTCGCTTAGGCCTGGAATATGCACAGGTAGAAGCTCGGTGGTTTTCGGCGGTTTATCGTAAAGGAATCCAAAATTGCCGTCTCCTCCCTGAGGGTTGTTAGCGAGGACTCGTAGGAAGGGAACAGAGCACGATAGACTTACAGCAAAACTACCCCAGCCGTACACAGTTCCTTCGGAAGTGAGAGCGAAGCACGCGCTATTGGTCGTCGCAACTTGGACGATATCAACTTGATCTTCAAAATGCACCAGCCCAGGTGTACTCTCAAACGGGTCCAGCAGATCTTGGGGGCCCTCCTCTGGTGTGTCTGGGGTCTTCACTCGGCCCAGTGCCCCGTCGTCGTTAACGCCCCACGTCAGCACCTCGCCGTCGATGGTTAACGCGGCGCAATGCATGCCGCCGGCAGAGATCTGGACAATGTCGTAGGGCAGGAGAGATTTTTGCGCACGAGGTCTTGGGGCTTGCGTGACGCGGGGGCCGAGGCCCAGTTCGCTGTTTTCGCCACTTCCCCAGACATTGATATCGAGGACTTGTGCTGGTCTCTCGGGTCGTCGGTGTTGGTTGCGCTGTGTTAGGCGTCGGTTGTTGGCTGCGCGAGCACTCTGTGTGTCTGTCGTTGATGGCATTGGTGTTGTCGTGTAAGTCGAACGCTGCTTTGGTGGAGTGGAACTAGCTTCGGGATGACTGCTGTTGTGTCACTTGAGGGACGAATATGTCGCTATCTGAACCCGTAGACTGTTAGGCCACCTACACTGCAGTCCTTCTTTAGACTTGAGAGCAATAGCAAGACAGTCTTCCGCGTATGGTATTCATCATCCAATATTGCGCGAAGTTGGACCTCTTCTTGTATGGCAACTCGGAGTCAAGACGCCTGGACCACCTCACCCAAGAGGTCGCTCGGCTTACCTCATCCCGCTTAGTCACAAGGCATTCTGGGCCATTAAGGCGCAGCTGGTGCCTGGTGGTGCCTGGAGCCATTGGCCAATCACTGTTGACTTCTTCACTTGTCCTGCCGGCAGAGGATGAATCCTTTGCAATTGGGATGATGGATTAGTCAGTTGAAACGATTGTGCGCATGTATTGATAAGCGCGGATTCAGTACCTTAATGAGTTTATTTGGACGTCGACGAGTGTGAAATTGAGGCTGGAGAGGAGGGAGACTGTCTTGCTTGTTGCGTGGCACTGGAGGATAAGGTACACAATGGAGCGTCGGTCCTGGATCCTTTCTCTTAAAGAGGCACACACAAAAGACGTTACAACGGAGCAGTCCAGCAGGATACAGCTCGGCCATACTCAAGGAGATGTTTTATCGATTCATTTCTCTCATGATCTTGAGGCAGTTCGCAGGACAGAACCGAATAAGTCTCTCTTCTCCAAAGCCGCAAGAGTCGGTCTCGGTCACTACCAAAAACCTTAATCAGAGAAACCATCGTCGCTTTCGACCAGTGCCATCCTTGCTCGTCAATTGACTGGATGAACGGGAGGGCCGGCGGGTGGAGATTTCTTCCCGGTTCGCATGAACGAAAATAAACATTGAAAAATACGAGCCTTGAGCGAACCTTTTCTGTAGATCAATGGAGGCCTGGGGGCTTGGAAGGGACCAAGACCGCCAAGTTTCCCCCCATCCCCGTAGAAATCGTATATTAATATAGCAAAGGAGTTCCACAACAACAATGTCAACCCCAGTATGTGACCTCACCGCATGAACTGACTTAAATACTTCAGAATACCCTTTTCTTCAACATAGACCTTGAATCCTCTCTCCAATACTCAAAACCGGGTCCATCAACAACCCTTCTCAATACCTACCGACGACACCAAATATGCAGCTCACAGCCCTCACCGCCGCCCTCGCAGCCCTCGCCGCCACCGCGACCGCGACACCAATCATGGGCACCATCAAAATGTTCTACGACGCCGCCTCGGATTGCACGGGGAACCCGCTGCAGATGGAGACGGGCACGCTGCGCGGACAGGCCATGGCGATCCCGCCCGACTATGTTGGCGCGTGCCACCGGATTCCCGTTGGGATTGATAACTCTACGTATAAGAAGTTTTCGGCGAGCGGGCTTACGCCTGTTTTCAGCTGTGAGTTTTGTTCTTTTCTGTTGTGATGTGTTGTTTGGAGGGGATGTTGGTTCAGAGCTTTTGCTGACTTATGGGATAGTCGAGTTGTATACGGACGCCGGGTGTCAGAACCTAGCAACGAATGTGTCGAATGTTTGCGTGCCTGATGTTCATTCTTACATTGGTCGTCGCTTGGATGGCAATTGAGAGATGAGCATTATACGGCATGGCATAACATGGAATGATGAGGTCAAACTCGACAGACATGCAGGGGCGACTACCTCGAGCCCGGGTTGGATCTCGCGCAATGAGAATGGTTCTCATCTAGACGCCGATGACGACGTTCTTGAAGAGCACGGAATGGTCTCCACGAGGTCGAGAGTTGATCTGGGTAGACGAATTTGGAATACGGACTAGTTTGCTTTGTGGTAGAAGTTGCGTCGACATTTTACCATCTAATGAACAACGTAATATACCTACTCTTTCATCAGCAAAAACAGACATTTCATCCATTTCCTCGCCCAACCTTCGACTGTTCAAAATAAATTGGGTGTGATCACGCGCAGGAAATGGAAACAGGTATTGGCAGATATGTCACGGCGGCGGGAGGATCTATTAAGAATCTTCACTCTAGAACCTTCCCGCTGCTTTCAAAGCGCGACCCTCTCCTGGCGCTTCGTTCTCAATGCCGGCACTTTTAGGCTTTCGGCTGTGGAAATTTCTCAACCACGACCGCCGGACCACCCACGTGGAACTGATGCACCGCTTTCTTATCCAGATCCACAAACACCTCGTACGACCCAGGATGGAGCACCCGGTTCCCCAGCTCATCAACTCGTACCAGACGTTCCACTGTGATGACGACCTCCTTCACGGCGGCCTGGCCGGGTTGAATACTTCTGAAGCGGGTATACCCCGCAAGAGTCTTGAGCGGCCTGGGTTCGGGACCGGCATCCGATGTGAGGAACAGCAGTGCAACGTAGTCAGAGGCAACTTCCCCAGTGTTGGAGACAGTCACAGCAACAGTCAGCATCGACCTTTCCAGGGTCTTTTGCCATGATGGTACACGAGACGCGTCCCTGCTATCTGCTAAAAGCGTGAGCTGCTCAGTTGAGGCAATGGCAGGCTCCTGTAGCGCTTTGAGCTTGACGTCAAAAGTCGTGTAGTGCAAACCGAAGCCGTACGGTACGGGCGTCTCGCCGAGGTACCACATATAAGTCCGCCCGAGGCCCGAGTTACCCGGTACTGGTCGGAGATTCATATCCGTCGACGGGACTGCTTCGTTGTAGATCGCCGGGTACTGCGTGACAGATAACCTCCCAGACGGCGCCTCGCGCCCGAAAAGTAAGTCGAAGATGGCCTTGCCTCCGGACTGGCCTGGATACCCGCCCCAGAGGACCGCGCTGATGGAATCGCTGGCTAGGAGCTCCGTGTCGTCCACCTGCCCGCCGCCGAATTGAAGCACAATGACCGGTTTACCGACGCCGGCGAGAGCGCGGAGAAGCTCAAGCTGAGGTTCAGGCCAAGCCAGAGTCTTACGGTCGAGTGTTTCGGCTTCTAGGGTGTTGTCGACGCCACCCGCGAAGATGATCACGTCTGCTTCCGTTGCTGACTTGAGGGCATCAGAAAGTGAGTCGTGCGAGGCATTGATCTTGGAGCCGAGGGTATACGTAAAGTCGAGCCCGAGGTCTTGAGCGGCCTGGTACGGAGAGATCAAGTACGGCGCCGGACCGTAGTAATTACCCTGCATCTGCGTGGTAGCCTTAACCCAAGGCCCAACGAGCGCAAACTTCTTGCCCGAGTCCGCGGACAGAGGCAAGATCCCATCATTCTTGAGGAGTACCGCGCCCTCGACGGCCGCCCTGTACGCGAGCTCCCGCGCCTCCTCCGTATCGACGTCTCGCCAGAGTAATGACCTCAACGGCTGCTCTCGCGCAGAGTCGAACTGGCCGACGGAGATGAGCGCCGTGTACATCCTCGTCAGCGAGCGATCGACCTCCTCCTCGGAGATAAGTGACTGGTTCCACGCTAGCTGCAGGGCCTCGGAGCCGGGGAAGGCGTTGCATTCTAGATCTGTGCCGGCCTTCATCGACCACGCGGCGGCGTGTCCTAGATCCGGCGCGTAGTGGTGGTACGAGACCATGAGCGCGACGCAGTCGCAGTCCGTGGAGACGTATTGGCCCTCGCCGCTCCAGCGCCAGTGGCCACGGAGGATATCCTCTAGGAGATAGGCGTTGGCGCATAGTGGGGTGCCGTTGATGCCATTGTAGCTGCACATGAAGGAGCCTACGTTCTTCTCGACGGCGCAAGTCTTGAAGGGTGGGAGGTAGTACTCTGAGAGGTCCTGGGTCGTGATGATTGCGTTGAAGCCGGCACGATCGACGCCGTTGTAGTGCTCAAAGTCGTTGGCTGCGTAGTGTTTGCACGTCGCGATGAGATTCTTGTTGGATGGGTCGGAGGATCCTTCGAGGCCTGTGAGCATTGCCGCGACGTAGTTTTGGAGGTGAAAGGGGTCTTCGCCTGGTGTTTCTTGGCCGCGTCCCCAGCGGGGGTCTTTGAAAGCGTTGATGTTTGGGGACTGAAGGCTCTGTCAATATTTGACCTGAGTGAGATATTCTTTGTTCCAGTCTTCAACTCACGTAGAGGTCAAGTCCAGATCGGCCATTATTGCTAAACGCCCTTGCCTCCTTGCTGATCACGGCCCCGATAGCCTCCACCAGCTCATCGTCAAAAGCCGAGCCAATAACAATCGGCTGCGGGAACGACGTCGCGTAGCTAAAGTTGCCGCTCTCTGCAAACTTGGTGCCCGGCGAGGACGCGACGCCGTGGAGGCCCTCGGACCACCACTCATACGGTGGGATCCCGAGTCGCGGGACGCCGGGTGCCTCGTTGACGAGGTTATCCAGCTTCTCCCATATCGTGAGCTCGGCTACGAGTGCCTTTGCGCGTTGGTTCGCGGAGAGGGACTCGTCGCACACGTTGATGGAGCAGAGAGGGTCCCGGGTGCAATCCGGGAAGTTGCTTGTGCCGGCTCGGGGGTCCGATACGGATGCGGGCAGTGGGGCGAGACAGGTCCGGGATGTAAGTGGCTTTTGCTGGTCTGATGGACCTGACCCGGCTGCCAAGATGGTCCCGGGGAGAAGGAGTAGATGATTTCTGACGAGTTTATACATCGTATGAGCTACACATGGTGTTTACATGAGAGAAGGATGAGGTTCAGACCCCCTTGCAGATCCGATCGTTGCTATCTCTACCCCGCGTTGGATGCGGGGCATACCGCTCTGACCGTATTATATCATCCCCTTATTGAGATCATACTACTTTATCTGAACTGATTGAGAACTCTCAAAGGTATCATGCGTACAATCTCATCGAGCCGCAATCTCCAGCTAGGGATTCAAGGATCATGAGAGCGATTGCCAGACGGAATGAATTGGTGGGATGTTGAAACCGGAGGATCATGATCACGTGTATGTGGGTATATTCATCCGATCCATCACATTACACCACGAGAGAATGCCCTTGTATACCCGTCCAAGCCCAATCCTGTCACCAGCACAGCAGGCACCTTCCTAGGTCGGTTGATCAGGTCAAACTGGCTGGGTGGTGGAGTGGTTCGAGGTTAACAATCAATTACGCCAACAGTCTACTCGACGACAGGCTACGAGTTCGAGTTCGATTCCCAGCATGAGCACCAGAGATGTAGCCTCCACCGGGGGGTGAACTCTTTTTTCCGTGTTTAATCGAGGTTGAGCATCTTACGACTGTTATCGGCGGACATGTATAAATCCCTCAAGTTCAAACCGCCTTGATCATACCTCCTTAAATTTTTGCGGGTTGTTGACATCCCACATGACGAGCATCTTTTCACCGACACCCTGCTTCGATACTCTCAAAGTCTAAGCGCTCCTAATGAAAAGATAAACTCATAAGCAAGGTCATGGTCATATAAGTAACACGACTTGATTGATATGCCCTCAACGAGCGCTCAAGTATGTAAGAAGTATGGCGTTGGCTATGGGATGAGAAAATGTAGAAGACTGTAAGTTGGAGGTAATTTCGTTATGAATGACTGACTGTATGCTCAGTCATCGCGTGATGGTCTATCCCATCACCGACTTGGACTGTGACTTTCACAACACTCTGCTGTGTTCTCCTCAGCCAGCGACCTCCTTCTCAAAGGCCTTCACCTCTCTCCTCATTGTTTGATGCTCTTATTACGCCGCTCCTCCCTCCCATCCAAGAGTACCGTGTAATAGTATTACATTCAATAGAAAAGGTTTCGACTGGGCGGAATGCCGGGTAGCCCCTATCTCGAGGGTCAACAAGAACGAATAAATCAAAAAATGCAAATGGCTCATGCAAAAGATGCCCCTAGCCCCACGCTTCATCCAGAGTTCCGAATCACAATTATCCCATCCCGCCGTCCTTTAGGCCCCATTAACACCTCGCCTCTTGGTTATATCCGTTGAGAGAATCTTTTGTACAGCAAGAGGATCTTGTTATCGACAAAGAGAAAAGAAAAGGGACGTTTTGTTCATGTGCAGGGGTATCATGAAGAAGATTTATCAGAAATCGTTCCCACACGACGAAAAAAGACAAAGAAGACCTCCTTGTTTTGAGAAAATTCCCTCGTCAACTGCAAACAGATCAACCGTCGTCACCCCACCAGCCGGCTTCAACCCCCGCGTTGCCGACCGCGCTGAGCCGGACAGCCTTCTTCTTGGACAGCCCCTGGTGAGGAAGACCCAGGGTGCCCTCGGGCGACACGGGCGAATCGGGCCTCGGGATCCCAAACATCGGCTCGACGTCGCTGTCGCTCTCTACGATTTCGGTAGTAGGCGCCCTCTTCGTGCTCGCGCTCCGGCTTCCGAACTCGTCATCTTCGCCCCTCGGTCTCAGCGGCGAAGACTCGTGGCGGACCCTCTCGCCCGTCATCAACATCCGTCCCCGGCTCTTGTTGCCCACGGCGCCCATGGTGAAGCGGTGGTAGTCCCGGTTCCGGAACATGGACATGCCGCTCGTGAACTCCTCGTCTTCTTCGCTGACGTTGTCAAAGTCCATAAAATCGCTCAGATCGGGGCTGGGCTCCGCAAAGTCCATTGAGTTGACGTTGCCCACCGGTCTGTCCAGATAGAGAAGAATCCGCTCCTGCTTGGAGGACTCGCTCGGTTGTACCGTCTCTTGGACCGGTCTCATCTTGCGCAGACTGCCCGTCCTCGAGGATGCGCCAGATACCGGCTGCGACGACGGCGCGGGAAAGTCCAGGTGGCGGGAGTTGCTGCGCTGATGGCTCCGGCCCCTGACTAACGACGCCGGGCGACTGTCAGAGGCGCGCGATCCCGCCTTGATGGTGCTGTTCGAGGTTGCTGATGTCTGGTGACGGAGGGTCTGAGGGGGTTCGGGCCAGTCCATTTCGGTAATGGTGCCCTGCGACGAGTTGCGCTGATGGAAGGAGGAAGAACTTCTCGACTCGTCTTCGTATTCGGCCAGGATCGATTCGCGCATGCGAGCGCGCTTCATCCGGAGAGCCGCGAGCAGCATTTCTTCCTGCCGGGTTACAGCCATGAAGCGAGAGTCTGCGGTGTTGTTCGCGTCCGCCGCGGTGCCACCGCCGGAACTCATAAATGACTCCACTGAGGTCGGGCTCATGGGCGGCGTTGGCTGGTCGACCGAATGGACTGAGGAAGACTTTGTGGACAGCATGCGCTGGGGTGGGTTGCTCATCATACGATCCGGGATTGCGTGTGATTCTTGTGGGGGAAGAACGGCAATTACGCGCGCCTCCTGAACACCGTAACTGGCGCGACTTTGTCGGTTGTTCAGTGAATTATTCAGGGAATTGTTCAGAGAGTCAGTTGTTGATGTTGACATGGTCGAGTATTGTGATGACCGGTTTGAGGCAGCCGGCGGGGGCCGATATGTAGTCGAAGGTAAAGAACTCATTCGCGCGTTGACGCTGGGTGGTTTGCTCGGCGGAGATTTGCTAGGGATAGTGAGATATGTGTTGGTTGGGGCAAAGCTGGCATGTTTGACAGACTTCCTCGAACCTTGTCCCAATGACGGGGCATCTCGAGAGTGTGTCGATCTCAGCGATGAAGGAGCCAAGCTGCCCGCATCACTGCTGCGAGAGCCCCCGGTGAACTTCGAGACAGAGTCGGGGAAGAAGTCGTCTTCCGAGTCTGAGGATAGCGACAACACACTCTTCTCCATCAGATCAGAACCATTTAGACTCTGGCTTGTTCGTTTGGAGGCCTTTGACGTCTTGGTGTAGCGGCTTGAAACGCTTGATGCGCAATCGCGATCGAGCTGAGTCTGTTGGTGGCCAGTTGATACGGCAGTAGACTCCGGTAACGGTCCGAATTGAGGTTGGTATGTCGACGTCGTCCCCTCGTGTCTCAGAGGAGGCCTCGAGAAATTCCTCCTTTGATGGTCCGTTGTGGACGGCGATCTTAGTGGTGTGTGAGCGACACTATTCAGAGAGTGAGTTGATGCAGCAGCCAAAGGACCGTCATGTCCCAAGACTGAGTCAAATGACATTTGCTCATAATGCTCATATAGATTGGGCAACGTGCTGATATCGTTGGCGCCTCTACGGCTGCTGGAACCTGTTCTCGGCCGGCTCCCGGTCGAGTTGAGGCTGTCATACGTGCTCTTTCTCGTTAGTTTCCTCTCAATCCTTTGCTGGATCGGCGGTGGTGTGCTCTTGGGTGAGGTGACCGAGGCAAGCGAGGGCGATCGGTTGGTGTATTCTTGTCCATGTACGGAGCTCGCTCGCTGAGGATCGGATTTGCCTTTTAAGCTGTTGTGTTTAGCCCGAGACAATAGTGGCCCGAGATCTAGTCGGCTCGGCCTCTTCTTGGCTTTCAGATTCAATGGTGCCGGAACATTGGTGGATGACTGGCCTTCGATATCGAGGACGGCGTTGGCCTTCTGTGGCAGGCCCTTGGCCATGGCGGAGGAGGATGTCTGCTGAGATATCGACAGCGGCATCTTCGTCTTGTCGTACCACGAGGTGATGGTCGAGTTTGAGCCACGTCGGGCTAGGCTTGATGTTTCGGTAGTAAACTCTCGCTGGCCGCCTTCGGTGCTCAACTGCGCGAATCGGTTCGTCAAGAAAGCGGGCACGATCTCGGACTCCTGTTCCCATTGCGCGTTCGCGTTGTTGTTCCTACTGCGATTTTTCCCTGCGTAACTACCCTCCTCTTCATGGCGCATTACTCCTCGGCTTCTCTCGCTCGCATTATAAGTCGCAGTGCTTTCGGATACGCATACGCTGATGCCAGAGTTGGAGGCGGAATCCCATTGTCGCGGAGCGTCGATGTTGATCTCGGCGGTCCCCAGAATCTTTTGCGCTTTCGACATGGGCCCCGACACAATCGGGCCAAACGGCGGTTTCTGTTTCCTCCCGGGGACGGGGAATGTGAATTTAGAGGTTCGCCCCATCTCGACGAACCGGCGCGGCGGCGACCTCTGTCCTTCTGGTCAGCCCAGGTCTTCTTTTCCTTCTCGCGAAAGCCTTTCCCTGCCAAGAGCAGCAAAGAGCATTGGGTAGAAAGGCTGCTTTGGTTCGTGGGTTTGGCCAGGCGGATTTTCATATGGCAGAGCTTCGTGAATTTGGAAGTGGAGGGAACTACCTTGTCAAAGCAGGTTGACAACCCGCGCTATCGATGCATGCGGTTTTGGTGAGCCAGACAGGTCGACAATTCTCCATGCGATTTTGGTATTGTTGCTCAATGTTTCCTGTCCCACAGGTGACAATTTGCTGCTTAGCTTCTTGATGGTTTCCTTGGTTCTTGGTGAAGGTTCGTTTGCACGGCTGAGCAGATTCCTCCCGAGCGATCCTCCCACTCCGACGGCGACACAAAGAAATGAGACGATGGCCGTCATACGAAGGCACCCAGGACCAAGGGGGGGGTAATAAGCCAAACTCCTGTTTGCGTCTCCACCGGCACAATTTCCAGATCGGTCCGGGCCAGACGGGCTCTCTCGGCTTTCAAGCTAATTCTTCGAATGGGCTGCTCCTCCACGTGTCGAACATACATGAGACCTTTGAGGCGGAAAAGAGTAAGGACTCGAAAGGAAATAGATCCAGGGCCCTCCCTCTTCCTCGGAAAGTGTGGGTGTTGGGAGGGAACAGCGATTATGATATTGGGGGAAAACGGAAATGGAACTTGGAAATTTCACACCCAGCACCAGACACTTTGACGTGCGTGACGGCCTCTTGGATGGCCACCTGAACCTTACATACCGCACCCTCTTACCCTTTACTCTAAAGTCATCCACCTTTTTTCACCTCGATACATCTCCCCTCCTTGGCTGGGGACTGCCTGACTTGCAGGTGATTAGGGTGGGAAGCCGTCCAGATTCTGCATGGATGGTGGCGGTCCACCGCACGCAATCCTTGCAAGCCACACGAGACGGTGGGAATGCAAAAGAGCACGTCGGACAGACCGCGAACGCCAGAATCGTCTCTCTCCCCCAATTGTCCGTACCTCCTCGTGCTGGCTCCAATGACCGGCCCTCGGCCTGGCACTTTCTTGGTCCCCTCCCGCGCTGCACAACGACACCCGGGGCTAAGGCAGGGGTTGTCGGCCGGCGGAAACACACCCCTGAACCATGATTTTGATATTGCAAAGGAGGAAATGCCTATACCTATACGTACACAAATAGTCGACTCCAGACTGGCTCCTAAGGATTCACCACTGGCAGTGGTTGCAACCCTCAGCCCATAGACCCAAGGGGATCAGCTGGAAGAGAGGAACGGAAACAGGACGGACAAGACGCGGGAAGCACGGGGCATCTGCTCGATACAAACAAACAGATGGATGACGAGAGCGCGAAGACGACAACGATGACACTCGCAATCACCGCCCAATATTCATTTAATCAATTTGACAGCGGAGGTCAAGCAGGGGGCTGAATGGCCGTGGATGCGCGAAACCGCGCCCCCCCTCCCCGAGTTTTCTGCCCCCCAGTCGCCAACCGAGGGACTCGTGAATGCCCTCCCAGGTTTCCAATGAATGATCTCTGCAGGGCATCGCCGGGGCCCCTGAAGAAGTGTGGAGGAGTCTTTGCCCATTGCGGGCGGTGGGCATACTTCGCACAGTCTCATCGGGGATGATCAGCGACGCCATTCAGCAGAAAAATCCTGGACCTCAAGGCTCAACAGCCATTATTCCATTAAATTCATAGTCATCGGCGTCTGAAGGGTCGGTCGATGAGCGCTTTGGGCCTCTCTCTATTCGTGGACCGTACGCCGCATTCAATTTGCAAAGTTCAGCTCTGGGTTGCAAATCTGCACACGCCGGTCATCGTAGTAACGGCACTTGTTGGCAATAGCTTCAGTAGCGATTCGTGTCCCGATCAACCGTCATACCCTTAGCCTTGTTGCCTCTCCACAAGATACACTTGTACCTACGAATATGAGTATTACAGAGCCAATACTGAGTACCTACTCAGAAGTCGCAGTCTACAGAGAGACACCGCCTCTGCCCGTTATGAGGGCCATTATCCAATGGATCGCGGGTGACTTCGCTCATCCGCTTCTGTCCTGGTCTTGTCTCAGAATTCCCCAGTATGCGGATGACCTATCACTATTAGTCCTTCTCGAAGCAGCAGAATTGGACGTGTAGTGGGCGATATGTCTTGAAACGGCCTGGTGCGGGACAGCGGCGACAGTCGACATCGAAAGGCCCACCGCTTATTAGGAGGTTGCTGATAATTGAGCTGGCAGGCCCCAGGACGATGGATCGTTGCACAGTTGGCAACAACGCAACATAGAGGCAAGCTTGTTGTGCCATGCAAACGCCTGGCTGCCCATGTGCTACGGGGTCTGGCTGGCGTCGTTCCGCACCATGGTACCACCCGCCGCCCGCACATGCTTTGCCAACTCAGAACTTCAGCCCGCTGGCTCCTTCGCTTCACAAATATCGGTGTCAATTCACGATCCCGCCGTTTCCGAACCCAGCAGATAGACGGGCGGCCGATCCATATGCGGTGGTCAAAAGGAACGCCCCTGACTGAACCTGGGCCCATGTTCCGGGCCTTACGAAATGCTCCACGTATTCTGGAATATCCTTTTTTCTTTTTCTTAGAGACAGGGGCGGGCTAGACCACTGTGACAGTGGACATACTTACGTGCCCGCCGCCCACTTTCGGAAATCGTTACTCGAGCTGTCTTGCTGCTGCTCTGCCACTCTACATGGCCCGGGGGATGGGGACGGCGTGGCTGAGATGCTTGTAAAAAGAAGTCAATCTTATCAATGAGCAAGCACTATTTGTACTTGCTTGAGCCTGGCACATTCAACACGGGGACAAGGACGCGGCCAATGCCTCCGGAGTACATGCCCACCAGGGCAAGAAGGCAACGTGGAAGAGGTCGAGCGTTTCCAACGTCTGTTCTCATCAGACTCTGCAGGCGGCAAAAGCAAGCAATCTAAGACCGACTCAGTCGATGCTGCGACTTTATTTTGCGACGCATCAGATGCAGCAGAGAGACCTTCACTGCTACTTCCCTGACTCGTATCGACTGAGCACTTGGAGATGACGCTGTTTGGGGTAGAATGAGAGGGATAGGAGGGACAGTGAGAGCACCAAGGCAAAGAAAAGAAGGAGAAGAAAAACGAGAAGCGATCATTGAGTTTGTACTGCGGAAAGTTGGAACGAAGGATTTGCTTTTTGCGGTGGCGAGAGCACCGGTTTCGTCCAGACTTGTCAGCGTTCCCATGTGGGCTGGTCCATATCGTCGGGTCCCCTTCGCGAACGAGCCTCTTTTTTGGATGAGAGACGAACTTCATCGGGCTAGGCGCCGCTCTCGACAGGTCCATCACTTGCCTTAGGACGGACACGGACATCACGGCAGTAAGGTCTACGACTCACAGACCCTCTCTCTACGACGACGACGATGTCGTAGGCAGGGGAAGTTATCTTTCCATCTATATTTGTTGAGGCCTTTAAGGGGTCTGCGAAAAGCCGCGAGGTCTGGGAATCATGACATACTACTTTACAACTTCACAAGAGTATGGCTAGGAGACCGGGGTCTTTACAATCTGCTCAATACTGCCTCTAGACGCAGAAACGCGCAAACAACATTCCCATCAGGTGCAAAAGCCAGTTGCCTAGAACGGATAGATCATCGACGAACCGATGCCGCTCCAACACAAGCCTCAAGGCAGTGACAGCTTGGCTTCACCCACTCCAACGAGGTCTACCAGTACGGTACGAAAGATTTCCCGTAGAGTAGAGTGGGATTGACCTTGTGCCGACATGTTCACGGTAGCACGGCGGCGCTGCACGCAAGCGGCGAAGCCAAACTCCACTTCCGAAGCCTGCCATTCCATGTTCAATGGTGTATCCGGTCGAAACTTGGCGTCCGTGTACACGTCCATCACGGGCTGCACAGCGAGGGCCAACCCAGCGTGTCAGGTTCGCTTCCACTTGCACAGGGAACCTTTGACAAACGTAACCTTTTTTTTATTTTGCCCAGAAACACATTTGTACGCGTAGGTAGCCATATCTGCTATGGACTCGTGTCCGACTATCCAAATACAATGTTTGAAGCCAAAGCGCCTCAGCCGTCAAACGCATTTACACTACGAATCCTTTCCTGGGGGACCCGTGGGGACGTGCAACAGCACCGTTCACTTCCCAGTTCAATAGTTTACAGCTGTCAAATTATGCGTGTTCTGTGTATGGATAGTGTACAAACAAAGGGGGCAACGATCCGATGCCAGAGACGGGACCCCGTGGTTCATGCACCTGTCACCCGCAAACGCAGAGCAAACTTGACATTCTGTATTCGTACGATACAGATCAGATCCCACTTAAGGATTTCCAATGGTGTCTTGGTGTATTTGGTCTCATGGGCTGAAGACCAGGGGAATCCATTGACCACATTTCGCTTGAGTCGATTGCCCATCATCGGTGAGATTAACGATCGAAAGGGGGCAGCGGTCAGAGGCCGGGGTAGGTTGACCACATGATTAAAGACCGGCCCTGTCAATAGCAGCATCGCCAGTTACCGTATCCACCAAGCACCTCCCAAAAAGAATCAATCCAAGCACGCCAGGCAAAGGCAAGCCAAGCCCAGGTTTGACAAGCAAACAGGCTGACAGGGTCCGCTCTGACAGAGTGAGCTGAGCTATTCTCTCTGTCTCTCTCTCTCTCTCTCTCTGCCTCACCGATACTGGGCCGGGTCGGACTCGAGCCCCCCAAACGCTTACCGTTACTGTCGAGACTAAATATCGGATGAGTTGGCGCCGAAGTTGTCGCTCACCTGTGTCATCGCTACAATGCGCCGGAACATGTTCTCAAGGCAGGCAAACTGGTATTCGACATTTCCAAACTCCAATGGCCCAAGCGACGACCATCCCACCGGTTCCCCCAAGATAGAAACTTTGGTACAGATGCAGTGACTGTGTCTGAGTCGAGGTTCTTCGACCAGG